TAGGGCAGAGACATATATACACATATGTGTATATATGTCTCTGTAATAGAGTCATCTTTCGAGAACATTAACTAGTACATTGAAAAGTTACTATGCAGTCAGTATCCCGAAAAAAAACCGTATGGATGCAAAACGCTTCAGTAGTGGTTTCGGCTGACTACTAATACGTGCACTTTGTCTCAAAATATCCCGGCAGCGTTAAAGTTGAAGTCAGGATCTAGGGAGGGGGGGGTCTTCTTTTTCTGTGTTCTTTATTTTTTTTAGCTATATTTCTGCAAACTTACACTTTTTGATCATTACTCTCTTTCCTCATATTTTAGCATTTCATTATTCTTTAATCTTTATTGTTTACCCGTTATTCCCTATTCTGTTAAACCCCATCCATACCCTCTTATGTGGACTTAAGCTTTCGGTAGTTTATTTTATCCTATTTCTGTCTATGTGAATGTAAATACTTTATTTATCACAAAACAAAAACTTACTAAATATTTTTTTATGAAGTCCTCACCAGTTACGGATCCAAAAAAGGTCATAAGGAGGCACTAACTGTCATGCATAAAGAGGGGGCCCGCTTCAGTGATTCTCTAAATAATCAACAATTTTTTTCCAAAAAAGGGACGGGCCCCCATGTCCTCACCTTAATCCACCTCTACCCCTCCCCACTTCGTATCATTGAATTCAGATTCAAGATCTCTCTGATTAAAGTAAGTAAGTAAGTCACATTTGCTTATATCAGGTTTTTGAATTGAACTGGCGGATAGTTGTTTCATTACCAATCATACCACATCTCCTTATTTTTTATATATACGAAAGCTTTATTCATATTTTTAGGTGTATTGATGGATGTGTAAAGATGCAGCAATTGTGTAGATACATTTTAACATACAGCACAAGAGATGCAGATTATATAAAACTTATAAGTCGAAGACATACTGACAACGCCATGGCAAAAACTTAAAAACGACCAAATGACGTACAACAGTCTATAAAACTTAACTATAGCATACAAAACGCAAACATTTAAAACACATAAGAAGCACCCAGACAGTCAAATAGAAATTTAAAGAATATATAATTTGTAAAGATTTTCAACTAGGCCTACAGCTATATTTTCTTATTATCTAACAGTAAACATATGTTCTGGTACTATGTGATAAGTCATTTTTTCATGCAGACCCAGTTTCATTGATACCTTGAACTTAAAGTGGTTTTATGCATATCAGCCCAGATTGTGTGTGTAATTTTATTAAACAATTCAACAATACACGTTCTAAACAGGTTAAATTCAATTTACAAATTTACAAATTCAGATCTACTGGCATTCAACACTCAATTACTTACTTGATGTATATTGTCAATCCCTCAACATCGTGAATACGCCATGCGAGGTGTTGGCTATGTTTGATACAGGGTGGCGGCTTCGAAGCGTAGAAAAAAATCCAGGTAAATGAAAGTGTAAAATTTTGTTGTTGGAAATTTTAAGTACTTAATTCCTAAATTTGTACTTAACTTCGTTCTACGGCTAACATGGTTGTTTGATATGAAAATAGGATAAAAAGCATCCGGAAAAATTATCACATTATAAGTATTCGTAAATGGATATGAAAAAACTTAACAAGGAATAAGTATCGGTAAACGGACAGAAAGTCGCAGTACAAAAGTTTAAATTAATTATTTTACAATTGTTTAAATATATGAGAGAAAGTTCTGGACGAATTGACTTTATTTATAGATGGTATTTAGTTGAGGAAATGATTAATTCGCTTTCAAATAGTTTTTTTTTATCATTAATTTATAAAAAGGAGACATTTTTGACAGCATGAAGCCAGTTAATTACCAAACCACTTTGGCAGGTTGTTTTCTTAACAATCATTGTTCAATATTAATATTCAAAAATAAATTTTGTTTACAAGTCCGTTTCCTTTTAAAAATGTTTCGGAAAAATACTGAAACGTTTTTAAAATTAAGTTTATTCAAAGAAAAAAATATCCCAAAACTAAATCGTGACTCAAAATTTCCTAATGAAATTGTTAGATTCCAAATGTTTAGGAGAGGATTGTATTTGTACTTTATGTAATGGTGGTGATATTTGAGACGCGATTCATTATATTATAGCAAGGATTGATTATAGAATGTTCGGCAATAGACGAAAGTAGACAAACCCTATTTAAACGGGATTTTGATCTCCAAGGACCCCACATTTTACATCGAATAAGATCTATACTTTTTAACGTTTTCAAATGAAATAACTTGAATTGAAAATTTCCCGACTATGTGAAGATTTCTTATATTTCTAAATGGCTTCAATTATTACATACAAAACGAAAAAAATAACTTTTTTTGGTAAAAACAATATTCATGTATTATTATAATTTTTCCAAGGAAACGCTTTCTTTTTTTTTTTTTTTTTTTTGCAAAGTTTACTTGTATGTGTCTATAACCATCACCAATCAGTCCTAATTATTAAAGATCAAACGACCTAATCAAAATGATGATTGGTATTGAATATGATCATCGGTTATGCATGACGTATCCCAAATAACTTCTTTAATGTTGGTTTGATTTTATCTAAACCAAAATTATAAGATCAATAAACAGCATGCGCCATGAGCGCATGATACGCCCGTCGTCTTGTGTGTGAATGTTTATGCAATAAGCATAAATAGTTTCTGACATACGGCATGACATGCGAAAACCCCCCTTTTTTTTTACAAAAAACTCAATATCTCTAACACCAGAAGTCCATTACTAGACGTAAAACATATATACATGTCCTGAGTGACTTTTTATGTCCTGTCTGCACTCAGGAGATCCTGAGCGGTTTTTAGACGTACCGTTAATTTATAGGCATATATTTGAAGCTGTTCTTAATTATGTACATTATCTATAGGTATACATGTATCAGACAAAAAACTTTCCAAAGAACTTAGTTCTAGTTATTTTAGGTCCTAGTCACAGGCACTTGTCTCAGAAAAAAAATTTCCAATATACTTTTAATGTTAAATTAAGGTATATAGGAAACAAAATACTGAGACAAGTGCCTGTGGTCCTAGTGTGAAATAAATCCACTGGGAATTGGCCTTTTTAAACACAACTATATACACGTTTTCTCAAGGGTTTGTACATGTAATGTGAAATTATGTTTACTAAATGCGTAGTTACATAAGTTTATTGGCTACTTTTTTCTTCTTTATTTTATATAAATGATTTTTTTTTTAATTTTAACATTTTTTTTCTACGAAAAATTTGTAGTGTTGCAATAGGGAATGGACACAGATACTTAACGACATTTAACGAAAGAAATTTTGTGTAATGTCATCAATCTGTATTACACGTAGACAGGATGTTCTCTAGATAACTATGGTATTTCTAATACGTTATACACACCCCAGGGTACACGCACTGTCGTAATGGAAAATTACTGCATGCTTTAATTACCTGTAATCAGCCATGTAACAAATCAGTTGACTGACCATGTCATTACAGTTTAAAAAGTTTTTCCTCAGATCAAAACGGAATATTCATTTTAACTTTAAAATTAAAAACTTTAAAAGTATACTTTGACATAATTATGAAGTAAAAGAATTTAACAATTGACTAATCGGATTTTTCCAAAGATTAAGATACAATTATATTTATTATTCTGGGACTGACAGATATATCACAGGCACTTGTCTCAGAATTTTATTTCCTATATACCTTTATTAAAGTATATAGGATTTTTTTTCTGAGACAAGTGCCTGTGAGACATATACATGCATAAGTCCCAGACATATATAATTGTGAATCAAATGATTTACCTAATTACTGGGAAATAATATAATGTTTCAGTTATGTTGATGTCACAAATACACATGAATTATTTGATGATGCATGCTGGAATTTCTTATCTAAATGCATGACTTTGACCACAGACATATATATATATATATATATATACATTTACTGATTCTATAATTTCTTGAAAAAAAAAAATCAGGAGGGAAGTCAGAGGGAAATGAAACAAACATTTTAAGCTTTTATTAAAAATTGTTGGGAAGACAATAAAATTCGACACTGAGTTTTGAAAAAAAGTTTATGATTGGTCTTGGTTTTTTTTTAATAAAGATGCCCCCTTTTTAGCCACACCGACGAATGGAGAATTCCAAATAGGGTCACAAGGTCACATTTTAAAACTTTTTCAGTCGCCCAGTCTCAAAAAACAATTTTGACTGGCATTGTTTTTAGTCGAATTATATTTTTGCAGGTCAGTTTGCAAAGTGGCAGGTCGGATTTGACTATGTTGACAACGGTCCTAAAAAATATCCGAAAAAACGTTGAATCAAACGATATGAACCTACGCAGTTTTATATTATAAGACTGACATACACCAGTGTGCTAACTGTGCTGGGTGAGGTGCTGTAACTTGATATACATGTATCCATTAAGTTACAGTACTGTTAGGATTTGCCTGCCTATTTTCCTGTTAGTATAGACTGTCCCTGGCTTGAAAGTATGGTTCTCTGCTCAGCAACGGGTGCGTGATTAGCAAATCAAATATCTTGTAGCAGTAAAATACCTCGGGGGGGGGGGGGTTGCACTTCAATATTTAATTGATAGGGGGTGTCGGCTGGGGTTCTGTTACCCCACCCTTTTCATATAATTTAGATCTCAAAAATGTATACCTTTTCATATATTGCGTGGGTAAAATTGAAACCTTTTCCCATATTGATTGGGTTTCGTGGGGTGTGTTGGAAAAGTGGAATATTTAAGGCTAAGATTCTGTGTGTAATGTTTACTTACGGCGAGACTTTTGGCTGTGAAAAAAATGACAGGGCTTTTCATATACAAGTAATTGGAACTTTATCGACCTTATCATATATTTCTGATAGTTTTCCCCTGCACCTATTCCCATATTTTCAAGCAGGAAAAAGTGACCTATTCCAGCGGCACGTCCTATCATCTTGTATATAGGAAGTGCCCCCCCCCCCCCCCCCCCCTCCCCGAGTAAAATCCACAAATGTATAATACCTTAATTCAGGAGCACAGTCTCTCTTTACCGTAAATAACTTCGAGATTAATATGTAAGTTTACTTTGCTAATCGATGTTCCTGTAATTCAGATTTATATTTATTTGTGAGACCCCCGTCACTATTTATATTCACTCAAAGAAAGGGGTTCTCCGTTACTGGGAAAATCTTATCTGATTCAGGATCAATTTATCGGTTACACTCCCCTATCACCAGTGATTCTTTGTTGTAAGCTGACATTCTGAAAAAAGGTATACTGTTGACTATCAATTTGCACGATTAGTTACAGATGTCGACTCGGACTACTGCAAAAGACAATAATTCAGTTCACTGATTTAGATTGAATAGTGGTTCGGTTAATCCCCTCTTCCCCAAACAAGTAAGAATTAGGTTACATCTTTTGGTAGTCCAAATAATTATGACGTCTTGCAAGGCTATTTTAATTTTTTTTTCTATCTATCTATCTTCATATTTCCGCACTCAGTCACAACTTTGACTATTACGTGCCCAGAAAAAAGTTAAAATAGCCTTGCAAGACGTCATTATTATTTGGACTAATCTTTTGGCAAATATGGTCGTACCACAGGGGTTTGTTACAATTTACCGGGTTTTCTATCCTTACGAATCCTGAAAAACTAACCAGGCCAGGTGATAAAAGATCTGTCTCCCCTTTTTATCCCACCAGAATATCAAAAGGTTGTCTCCTTACACCTACATGACAAAAATATATACAAATATGGTATCATGACAAAGTCAGAATGTGACGGCTCTTCAACAGAAACTAAAGACGTAGAAGTTAACAACTATATAGGTCACCGTACAGATTTCAACAATGGGCTAAAAAGGCAAACTGCGTAATAAGCTACAAAAGGCCAAAATAGATAGACAATATCTGACAAGGGTAGAAATGTCCAGAATGTGGAAAAAAAATCTACTGTCCATTTTAGATCTTGGGTAAACTCCTTATATTATACTGCCTGGTCTGGTGGTAGCGTGTTCACCTCAAGTGCAGAAGGTTGTTTATTTTGAACCCAACCAGGTAAAACCAAAGACTTTAAAGTTCACTTGGTATTTGCTGCTTCTCCCTTAAGCACGCTGTATTATTAAGGTGTAAGAGCAAATGCTGGTTTGTTCAGAGTCAGAATAATGTGTCAAGGTAAGGTGACATGTCTCTCAGAGAACTAGTGTAAGAGATAAATTAGTCCTGGTAAAAATAATGAAAATTGTCTGGTCAGACAAATATAACTAGTATTAAAAGTCCATGGAGACAGAATTTACTAGTATATTTAGTCCGATGTCAGTAATTTATGTCCCCAGACTAATTTTCCTAGTCCATGACATCACTATTCCGAGGTAAAAATGTCCAGTTTTTCTAATACTGTATGCATCATGTCAAGTATATTTGGTGTATGAAAATTTTTAAGGATGTATGTTTGTCTGGCATGTTTTATTCAACCTTGACCTCATTTTTATGGTTCATTGCTCAATGTTATTTTTTTTTGTTTGTTTTTTGGTCACTTTTTCTATTTCCTTATTTTCAAATTAGCAAATCCCCAAGGGTGACTGGGGAATAGAAGTATGGTCACCATTGGTCTTCCTCCGACCGGCGGTAAAACCCTCGTCAAAGTGGGGCGTCCGTTTGGCTGTGCGGGATGTACAAATTTGCAGCCACGTCCGGTCAGAATGGGGACGTTAAATCCGATGCCTCGTGTAAAGAGAGTGCCACGCTCTTTGCACGTTAAGAACCCTTGCAACAACTCTTTGAGGGGTCCGTAGGTGACCTGTTGCAAGGCTAAATTTCTGTCCCTATCCAATATACCCTCATTTCCCTTGGCAGTCTAAATTTCTCCGACCTCAATCCCAGACGTCTCTATTACAGAACCTACCTATTGCATTTATTGTTAATTTGTTCTCGTCCTGAATATGCATGAAATATTTGCCACTGGACGTTAAGCAACCAACAATCAATCAATCAAATTAGCAATAGGTCAACTATATTTGGTGTATTGAATGATTGTAAGGTGCATATGTCTGACTGAGAAGTTTCATCTTACATGTGTACCTTGACTTTATTTTCATAGTACATTGGACAATGTTTAGTTTTTGTGGTTTGATCTATTTTTCGGATACTGTTAGCAATAAGGCCCCTATATTTGGTGAATGGAATGATTGTAAGATGCACATGTCTGTCTGGCATGTTTTATATGACCTTGACCTCATTTTCATGGTTCATTGGTCAATGAAAAGTTTGCATTGTTTTGTCAGTTTATCATATGCTTTAAGCAACAGGTAAATTATATTTGGTGGATGTAACGATTGTAAGGTATGCATGTCTGTCTGGCAGATTCATATAACCATGACCGCATTTTATGGTTCTTTGGTCAATGCTAAGTTTTCTTGTTTTTTTCATTTTATCAGATATTATAAGCATATGTCTACTTGTTGGTGTATAGAATGACTGCAAGGTGTCATATAAAAATAACAAGATGTCTGTCTGCCAAGGTTAATATTGCTGTGACCTCATTTTCATAGAATATTGATAATATTAAACAGCAAAAATGATGAGCAAGACAAGATATACAAATGATCCAAAATTGTCAGTTGCCTACTAGTACTAATTATGTGATAGTAGTTATTGTCATTAAATGATAATGTTTACTCTTTTATGTGTAGGGCAAGGACATTAAAGATAAAGGGAAACTATAAACAAAAGAAATTATCAACAAAAATAGATTTACAGACGTCAACAAAGCCTAAATGGTAAGTCCACTTCTATAAAAGTTATTGCCCTTGAATAATGATTATTATGAAAATAAGATGTGGTATGATAAATAAGAAAACTATCCACCAGAGTTCAATTAAGTGGATGTAAGCAATGCAATTACTTATTAGAGGCCAATGATGACCTGTAAATAATGAGAAAACCCATACCCTATATATGATATAGTCATCTATAAAAGACACCACAAACAAAATTTGGAACAAAACATCAATTCAAACTTCCAATATACCAGACTAATTTATAAATAAAAACAAGTTATGAAAAAACAAATATGACGGACTTGAACCAACATCAACCACTAAACTATGTACAGGCTCCTGATTTTGGACAGGCAAAATATGGCAGGGTTGATATAAAGATAAGAAGTGGTATGATTGCCATTGAGACTTTTCTCCAATAGAGATCAAATCACATTAAATTTAACAAAATTAGTTCACTGTACAGCCTTCGACAATGAGCAAACCCTATACTGCATAGTAATCTATAAAAGGCCATGAAATAACAAATGTAAAACAATTTAAAAAGGGCATGGTGTCTATCCATCCTAAACATGCTTGGGGGAAACACCACAAAGGCGAAAGCTAAGTGCCTGATTTTTGCACAAAACAAAAAATAAAAAACAAATATGATATATAGCAACAATTGACAACCACTGAATAACCGGCCCCTGACTTGGGACAGCCACTTACAAAATGTGGCATGGTTTAACATGTTTGCTGGCGCCAAATCCTCCTCTAATTAAGGACAGTGGTGTAAGTGTCAGTTCATTTAAATATAAAAACTATAAATCAGTTGAAAAGGGCTATTTTCTGCTCTTTGGTCAGGTTCTTTTGATACATTCCTGTTTTCATTTTCAATTTTATTAACTCATTAGAATGCAACAAAGCAGAAAAACAGCTACCAAAAACACAGACTGGATGTGGCTGGAAATTTATTCTTTCCCTTTAACAAAAAAGACTCAACATACAGATCTATTAGTACTGACAGTTACTGACAGCTAATTCAAAGCAAATATCAACTAATAAAATAAACATTTTGTGAGCACCCAACCCACCCCTAACCTGGGACAGTGGTTTTAATAACAGCACAACATTTGAACAAACTGTAAACATTTGTTGCAATTGGCTTAACTCAAAAGACTGCAACAAGGCACAAAAAACAACTAATATGAAAACCATAGACACAAAGCACTGAAATAAGAGTTCTTACAATTTTAAATATTCAAATGAAAGTTTTATCAAAATGTACATAAACATGATAAAATAGCCATTTTATTGCTGTATTTCTCTTCATTTATAATTTTTGAGTTTTGTGTATTTGTAGGTCAGACATCTTGGTTTTCATGATCATCATTCAACAAGTCAATACTGAACAGAAAACTTAAAGTTGATATTTTTCTTCATAGTGTGACTTTTTTTATTAATTTGAAATGGAATGTGTTTTTTTCCTACATAAGAAAGAGGAAATTTCATCATAATGACTATAAGCAAAAAGGCGTCATATCATCATGATCATAGATGCACAAGAACTTTATCATGTAAATGCAACAACGTAATTATCAATTGAAAGAAGGGAGGAATGAAAAAATATATTAGTATTTTGTTGTCCAAATGAACTTGCTTTGTCCACTCATTTAAATCGCTCCATCCAATAAAGATGTACGGTGGAAGATTTTTGAAGAACAGATTGCAAAAGAGGTTTTGTCTTAGAATTGTAGGAATATTCTAGTGGATGAAATAATTTATTACTTGACTCTTATATAGTGGACTGAATAATTGTACATAGCAAGCTGAAACAAGAAAAACTAAAACTTAACAGGAAAAGTGTTTATTTTATAAATTTGCAAATATAAATGTAATATTATGAACACCACAAAGGTATAAGATTCAAATCGTTTGCATATTCATGTATTGCAATGGAACTATAACAAAGAAAACTTTAACTCATGAAAAGAGTAAATTATTAACTGTGCTTTGTCAATTTATTCAGTCAGAATATGAAATATTTTTTTCAGTTCTATTTTTCATAATAAAACAAACAAGAAAAGATTTCAAATCAATATTTTTTTCTTTTATTAAGACATGTCATCATTTTATTTCAGTTAAAGGATTTTATTTTTTGACTTTAAATAGTATTATACTTTCCAAAATAATAATAATCTTTATTGTCATATAAACAAATTAAAAACATGTTTGTGACAAAATGAAAAAAACCAAAATACACTCATACATGTCATATATATATTATAAACTTTTTACTACCAAACAGAATTCATTGTAACATACACATTACTGTATATTTACGGTCTCTAAAAACACCGCAAAGGACCTCCTTTGTGCACAAAGGACCACAAAGGAGTATGATAAGTGCACAAAGGACCTGAAATTGTTTATTAAATGGGGGGAAAGGCATTTCTCATGAAAAAAAATATTGTTTTTTATTAAAATAAGTGAGTTAAATCGGTATAAAGTTGAAGATTTACGAAACCGTGTTCCGTAACCGGTACGGATATGTATAAGAGTACGGCCATTTTCGATAAGATGTTAGTACACCTATAATTATATATTGAAAAGTATTGAGAAAACATGAACATATAAAAAAAGCCTGGACATTAAACCGGAGAGAAAAATTTAAGCTAACACTGTTTGTAAAGATTTCAATTTCACACAATTAATAAGTTATGTATAACGAGTACTTGATTGCGCTTGGGATGAACAAAGCGTTATATATTCTTACAGTTAATTATCAGTGTTCAAAGACCGTCTTTAAAAACAATAACATTGTTGAAAAAACAATTATATGTATTAATTTATTAAAAAAAACACACAAAAAAGACTTCAGACATATGCAAAATATACAAGTTTTCTAAATATAGATCTTACAAGCGGCGATCAAAGACGTCGTCTATTGAAGTTAAAAAAATGAGAAATATAAACCATTTTACTCAAAATCTTATCAGAAATAAAATAATATAAATAAGAGAGTTCTTCACTGAATCATTCAAAGCTATACAAATTCAACATGAATCACTCTCAATACAACTACGTGTCGAGTCTATCTAGACTTCAACAGGTATACTTTTTTCAAGTTTGTTTAAAATTATGTTTAATTTGAAAGCAATTTATAAATTTTAAATTAAATATTTTATTTTCATCAGCATTGCTTTAAGGAAACTGAACTCCTTCTTTTTTTTATCAATCATCTTAATATATGATGAATCTAATTAACAAGCTACTTAGCGTAGATGATTCTTTATACGGTATTTATTTCTTTTCGTATAATTATTTGAATAGTTAATATGCAAAATATCTACTTGCTATTGCAAGTGTTTCTTTTCAATTATTTGAAAAGTCTAAATTTTGATATTGCGAATGTTAAAATTTTCGAAATGATATATGAATTTGTCAATTATATATATTAAATATTTATGTGTGAATTTAGTTAACACATACATAGCAGAAAGTAAATTTCAGAAACTATTTGTTAAAATAATTAATTTCATTTCAATATCCATTTTTTATTTCAAATTTTGATTATCCATTAATCAGGCTAATAAAATACAAATAAATAAATTGAGAAGATGTATTATATGTCAGTAACAAGCAACCTAACGACACAAATAACCAAATGACAGCTCTACAGACTTTTTTTCACTGTGCTGAGTATACATTTTTTTTCTGATTAAGATTCGTCAAGTAAGAAAATTTCGGTAAATACTTTGTGTTTGTGCAGAATAAAATTTGATAAAACAAAGTATATATTGAAATTTCTGAAAAACGGATAGCAAAATTCAACTCCATTTGCTACTTTTAGAATTACTGCCATACCGTTCCCCTTGGTGCCTTTAGATTCTTTCCGTCATAGCAATTTAAGATTCGTCAAGTAAGAAAATTTCGGTAAATACTTTGTTTTTGTGCAGAATAAAATTTGATAAAAAAAAGTATATATTGAAATTTCTGAAAAACGGATTCAAAAATTCAACCCCATCCTATCTTTAGAATTACTCCCATACCGTTCCCTTTCGTCAAAGAAATCTATTGTTCGTCAAGTAAGAAACACGTTTTCGTTATGGCAATTAAAGATTTTCTCCTATACCATTTTTTATGCGTCATGTTCAAGACCAGTGACAGATATTTCAGACATTTTCAGACCAATTGACGTATACGAAATATAAGAAGCCGGACAGATTACTCTGCACAAAGCACATAACAGACAATGTGACAAATTACATAAAAAACAAGCTGCCTCTAACAACTTATCAAAGATCGCAGATTATGTCCGACATTTTTAACGACAATGGCATAGCACTGAACTGGAAACCACATCAATTACCAGAACTTTTAGACAAAATATACAATGTGATACAACTTCATCACACAGATTTAAGACGCAGTATAGTTGGAAACGGCAATTATGAACTTTTCGGAAATTTCAAAAAACACAGAATACAACATTCCAAATGGCACAGTCTTACCCAAATTGAAAAAAGAAGTGCTTTACCGAAAGCTTGCCAGTGACAAAAAGTTTAGTGACAATATGTTAAGAGCAGCAAGTGGTTTTGCAATACCAAAAGTTAAACGTCTCGCCAAGAAGCCTGGTCAACGTCACCGGCCAAGGACAGCTGCAGTGAGGACAAAACCGAAATTTTAAATGTTATTGTTAAATCATATGTATTTATTTATCATGTTTATTTAATCTTATTAAATCATAATTGGAAATATAAAGTTTTGACTTTTTTTGTTATAATGCAAGTATTCTTACTTCACTTAAAAATATTATCATACGTATAAAGAAAACAAAGTGATGATATATGAGACAAAAAAAACCAACAACACATTGCTATCCTATATAATTTTCGAAGTTTTGGTAATGCTTTACCCTTGAAAAATTACAACAATAAGATACCAAGAATAATAATTGACGTTTTTATCAGTTATGTTACATTTTAACTATTTAAAAATTCAAATACATGAACTATCACTTAACCCGGATATAAAGTCGGTTCCAAACCGATACCGGTGAAAACTACAAATCGTACATTATTAAAATCATAATTTTTACTGAAATTGTTTGGTTTTTTTAACATTTTTCTTCATGAATTATAATATTTTTATGTTTTGAAATGAATTTCAGGTCCTTTGTGCTCTTATGAAACTCCTTTGTGGTCCTTTGTGCTCCTTTGTGCACAAAGGAGGTCCTTTGCGGTGTTTTTAGAGACCCGTATATTTATAATTTGAATTTCATAGGATTTTATTTTGTCCCATGGGATATTAAAAATCCCATGGGATAATTATAGTCCCATGGGATTTTTTTTGTCCCATGGGACAACAAATATCCCAGTGGACTACAATTATCCCATGGGACCCAAAAAAATCCTATGGGATTTAACCAAAATCCCATGGGATTTGCCTTATCCCATGGGATATTGAAAATCCCATGTTTTTCTAAATCAAATTACAGAATATATATAATAATAACAGTAGAAAAGCAATGAAATTATGGAATCCCATGTAATTCCGCACATTTTGGTTATATACACGACATTGTAGGTCTAAGGAGAGGCGGCGGCGGATTTGCAAATGAGTGTTTTGCAAATTAAAAGTGTCCAGTGTTATATGACTAATTTATTTGTAAAAATTATAAACATACACCCACATATTGGGTTTATATGTCACTTTCAAAATCACAAAAAGTGTTTCTTTTTCTCACGGAATTTCGAACAAAATTTAAAATTAGTAACACGAATTAATAATGAAAAAAAGGGATATAATAAATTAAATCTAAGATTGAATCAATGTCCAATTAAATGAATAAAAAAGTAAAATCACAAAAATATCGAACTCCGAGGAAAATTCAAAAAGGAAAGTCCCTAATCAAATGGCAAAATCAAAAGCTCAAACACATCAAACGAATGGATACCAACTGCCATATTTCTGACTTGGTACAGGCATTTTCTTATGTAGAAAATGGTGGATTAAACCTGGTTTTAAAGCTAGATAAACCTCTCACTTTTATGACATTCGCATTGACAATTCAATTATATTGACAACGATGTGTGAACAAAACAAACAGACATAATAGGTAAACATGTCAAAAATAGGGGTACAGCAGTCAACATTGTGTTATAATCTTAATCACTATTAAAACAAACAAATATGTAACAAGGAAGCACAAAATGGTATATAGACCAAGCAGATTAGCAAAAATTAAAAACAAGAATACACAAATTTACCTTAGTATAATACATGTAACACAATGACGAGATGTTTAAGTACAGAGCCACGTCATATATGTATCATAGAAACATAAAAAGGCATTGAAGACCTGTTGGTGACCTTCTGCTGTTGTCTGTTCTATGGTCGGGTTGTTGTCTCTTTGACACATTCCCCATTTCCATTCTCAA